TGGAAGATAAATGCTGGCCAAGTAGCACCTGTCCTGACTGATTTACCTCCAGMACCTGAGTCATTATTACGCGTCATCAAATGTAACTGCACAACCGACTGCAGCAGCAAGAGATGCACCTGCCGMAWACACAACTTGGRGTGCTCCGCAGCATGTGGWCAGTGCAAGGGATCTGGTTGCAGTAACTTGAACCAGCACCTTCTCGACATTCAAKACGACGAGTTTGATTGAATCAGTATATACTTGTAAATRCTTCAATCCTCTCCTYGCCTCCACCCTAGCTCTCCCCATTCCCCTTTAAAAGAGCTTAACTACGCAGGCTAAGTCTAACAGACGACTTTGTGAACATAGCATAGCATTCAATTACAGCTGAATAATCTAGTAATTTCTTTAGTATTATATTAAGGAAAACCACGAAGCATGAAATAATATTGTAGTGCATTGTAGTTGAATAGTAATAGTAGTAATGTTAGAMAAGCTGAAGAAAGCTACATCAAACTAGTTAAAGCAAGATGAAATGTATAGAACATGATTATGAGGGAATATTTATTACAAATTATTGTAAACAACCACTACTTACTCTTGGCCAAAACCGAACAATGGTGACTTAAACATCGAGTCGGTCAAAAGGATATGTTCGAAAAGACTTATATGCAAGTGTTTTACCTTTATATTAAACTTTTTACGTATTCTGGCACAAATCCAATCATAACGGTACAATTTGAAGGGTAGAAACAGTCGCTTCCGATTTGGAACGTCGTTTTYATGTATTCCGGACTTCGATTGCAAAAGATTTTTAGTATGTTCATTGACGTGGTATCAGTGACTGTATTTTGAAGAGAAAGTTTCTGTTGCAATTAGATGAAGGTCAATTCATAAAATGAGTGGACTGATAATTTATAATAGTTTAATGGCTCTGCCATAGTTATGTTTTAAAATCTAATTTATGAATGTTTTATATGTGATAATTTAATCAGTTCAGCTCGAATGTTTTAWCAAATAAACAATCTATCTATCTCGTATTGAGATTCGCACTTAAACCACGTTTGATAATCAATGCGTTAAGTGTTTTYGTAAATGACCAGCTAAGCTTTGTGGATGCTGCGTGCAGTTCAAATCCAAATCCTTTTAAGKAATCTCTTCTACCAGAGCAATCAAAGTACTTGGTACTTGATTATTCAAAAGGGAGACAGCACTACGTACAAGTAAATGATAAACACTCTGAAAAAGTAGACATAGATTTTGGCGTGCCCCAGAGATCTATACTTKRCCCTGTTTTATTCGATTTGTATGTCAATGATCTACCAGACAACGTGACTTGCTCCTGCGTAAAATACGCCGACAACACCACATTCTACTGTCACGATTTAACCACATGAGTAGATAAGATGAAAAATACGTTTCAAGAACTAGAACAATGGGCTTTTAAAACAAATTTATCGTTAAACGAAAAGAAGACCAAAATGATGCTCATTTCAACAGACCAAATGTCACGCTCACGCGATCTCCATGAAACAACTCCATCTATTACGCTCAAAGRACAAACAGAAGAAAGGGTTAAGTMATTTAAACTGCTTGGCACTTGGCTAATGGAAAACCTCAAATGGTCTGACCATGTAAAGCATGTGTTATCATCATACTACGGCGCCTTGTCAACACTCCGTAAAATAAAAAACCCAGCACCACTTCATGTTAAGAAGCAACTCGCAGAAAGCCTGGTACTCTCAAAGCTCCACTACAATGACATCGTCTGTTATCCCCTACCTGCTTACCTACAGAAAAAGTCCAATGAGTACAGAATTCAGCAGCAAGTTTCGTTATCAACCGCTATGCCAGAGAAGAAGATGTTGTGAAGCTCAGCTGGCTACTAGCAAGAGAGCGAACTCAATTTAACCTGATAAGAACCGTTCACAATGCAATATACAACCAGTGTTGTCCAGTATACCTCCCATTAGAGCTACACTTACCTAAAAGGCAGTTAAGTTCAAGCAAAGCCCCACAAGTTTGTATCCCACTAGAATCAGGGACGTTTCAAGACTCTGCGTCAAAAATATTTAATGAACTAACACCAGATCTTAGAACTTGTGCAGATTTAAGAACTTTTAAGCGTGACGCCAAAAAGATCCTGTGGGAACGGGCGAAAAAACGACTTAATTTTGAATGCCTCTTATTGTACATAAACATTGTTTTATAGATTTATATAGCTCTGGGATTTCATTAGTTATTCAAATCCCATTATTTAATCGATTTAGTTATCGATTATAAGATATCATAGATAATTTCATTAATTTAATTACTTTTCCTAAAACACAGTAATCACTTTGCACTCCCGTCTGTATCTAGGTTTGCCCAGTTTATTAATCAATAATTAGTAATTTATGCTGCCTTTAGGACGTTGGTACAATGGCATATTTCCAAATTGCAAAATAAAATTAAAAACACAGTCATTATTTTTTGTTAACCAATTTATCAATTTCAAAAAGGTATATTTACGATGTCCTTTATTCCAAATATCAAGACAGCAAATGAAATTCACCCCATTTCGAATCGTGACCGTACTTACCTTATCAGTTCGTTAACCGATATTTGCAAAACAATCCAGGTTTTCGACTAACKAAGGATTAGAAAATGCACTGCAAAGCATATACGCACACAGCCTACAGACAGTATAGTAGTATAGTATAGTGAAAATGATCACTTGAATAGTTGACATAGCAGCGAGACGTCAGACACACAACGGGACCTTTTGCCATTAAAAAATCAAAATCTCCAGTTTCTCGTGGTTAATCTTTTTTAGATTGTGTAATACGAAATTTGGTTTGTTACCTACTATATGACAGCGTTTTATTCARATCATGACTACAGAAACCAAGATATTAAAGAAATATCGATTTAAGTTAAAGATAAAAAGTTTTTGTAGTCCAAATTTGTTACATTGCGTCAGTTGCCTTATCATCCTACGAAGAAAAAAACTGCTGTAGAAATTTCAAGACATTTGACCATGTAGTTTTTGAGTTTTAATATTTTTTAAATAACGTATGCAACCGACCTTTCGTGATGTCATAAAAATAGAAATTCTTCAAGTTCTGGTACTGCGCAYKCTCGTACAYAAACTGGCGCGCGCGCGAACAAAAACTATATKGAGCCACCTTAAGCTGTAAGTATTTGTTAAAAGCCTTTAGGTCATTTAATTTGGGACCCTTTATACAGTGGGTTAAAGTGTTTTAAACAACGATTTTTCAACAAACCTTTTCTCGGTACCAAGAGGAGTTCGACAAGGAGACCATTTAGTCCTTTTCTTTTTATAATGTACATTATATAATATCCTCATCCAACAGCGTTAGTTACTTCGAAAATAATTACATATTAATACTTGCACTGAGTGTTTATTTGCTTATTTAATCTAATTGTGTATACTTTCCTGTAATTTATTTAATTATTATCAAGAAAATTATTATATTATTACTATATTACTTTTATTATATAACAATTTTTTTTAATAATTATACTATCATCAAATTAGTAATATATATAGTATGAGTGGCCGTGTTGTATCAGATATACAACCACGAGGCGTGGCCGAGTGATTGTATATCTGATACAACACGGACACGAATACTGTATATGACTTATCAAACGTCTA